AAAATTGCATATTTTTGAATACGGTAGCCTTTTGCGCATAGAAGATAGGTCGTCGGGACAAATTTTTTTTTTTCATTTAATAGTACATAAAATAAGCTTTAATTTGATATATGTTTAAAGGACGCAGTATTTCCGGAACATTTTCAAAAATTAAGTTGAAAAAGTTAGTTTTTGTAAAAAAGTTGCTATTTTAAATCCCCCCTGTGAGCAGAATAAGTGTTAGATTTTCAAAAAAAAATGATATCAAATGAAAGAAAATTACCTAAGGTTTCAATATAAAGAAATATTATTTTGATTAGTTAATATTTGAAAAAGTTATGGCAGTTTTAAGTACAAAAAACATCGTTATAAAAGGTGATTTTTATCGCAAATATTACATTTTTTTTATAATTTCGACAGCCATTTGCACATAGAAGATAAGATGTCGGGACAAATCTTTTTTTTTTCATTTGATATATATTTAGAGGACGTAGAATTTTTTTGGAACATTTTCAAAAGTTCAGTTGAAAAAGATCTATGTTTTTTACAATATTTCAAGTTTTGAACGCCTCCTATATAAGGGGAATTTGTCCAATTTTAATAAAAAGTATGTCAAATGAAAGATGTACTTATAATGTATTTAGAAAAAAAAAATTTGTGCTGATATATACATTTTTCAAAAAGTTATAGCATTTTTAAGTTGAAAATTTAAAATCGAAAATCGAAAATTTTAACACAAAAATAGCGTTTTTTTAACTACGACAGCCGTTTACATGCAGAAGATAAGATGTCGGGACAAATTTTTTTATTTCATTTGATTGTATATAACATAACTTTTGATTTGATATATGTTTAAAGGACGCAGTATTCCCGGAACATTTTCAAAAGTTCAGTTGAAGAAGATTTATGTTTTTTACAATATTTCAAGTTTTGAACGCCCCCTATATAAGGGGAATTTGTCCAATTTTAATAAAAAGCTTTAATTTGATATATGTTTAAAGGACGCAGTATTTCCGGAACATTTTCAAAAGTTCAGTTGAAAAAGATTTATGTTTTTTACAATATTTCAAGTTTTGAACGCCCCCTATATAAGGGGAATTTGTCCAATTTTAATAAAAAGCTTTAATTTGATATATGTTTAAAGGACGCAGTATTTCCGGAACATTTTCAAAAATTAAGTTGAAAAAGTTAGTTTTTGTAAAAAAGTTGCTATTATAAATCCCCCCCATGAGCAGATTAAGTGTTAGATTTTCAAAAAAATGATATCAAACGAAAGGGAAATATCTAAGGTTTTAGTAGAAAAAAAAATCATGTTGATTTGTTTATTTTTCAAAAAATTATGGAAGTTTTAAGAAAAAAAGTGAAGAAATTTACCGATTTTTAAATTTGTAATTTTTTTGGATATTNAAAAAATGAAGAAATTTACCGATTTTTAAATTTGTAATTTTTTTGGATATCTCCCCCATTTGCGGGGAACGAGGGAATTTTTTTCAATTTTTAAGGGTAATGTCTTCAACTAGATACAATTTGTGATCTTTTGACGTATTGTTAAAAGAAATCNCCAGCTAGATACGATTTGTGATCTTTTGACGTACTTTTGAAAGAAATCGGTCCAGTGAGAGCTGAGAAAAAGTGGCAACAGACATAAAAAAAAAAAAAAAACACATCATAGTAAAATTAATACCTTCTCAGCTTCGCATCGAAGCTAAAATTGTATTAATTATTGTAAAAATAATAAATAATTAATATTTATTAGTTTTAATGTAACATAAAACTAAAATTCATAAGGAAAAACGTACAATAATTTATACAAATAAATGATAGGTGAAAATATGAGATATATATGACTATACATATTTTTGCAACATTAAACAGAAAAAAGAAGAAAAAAAGCCAACGACACGCAGTGTTCCCAAGCGGTCACCCATCCAAGTACTAACTACGCCCGACGTTGCTTAACTTCAGTGATCGGACGAGAACTGGTGTATTCAACGTGGTATGGTCGTTGGCGAGGAACAAGTTGTTTTATAGTATTTTTGAAACATATATAAGAAATGTAATAAAATAACATTATTTAATTTATATTAATTTTTTTATGTATAAAATAAGTTTTATTTTGTTAACCTATACAGAGTGATTTTTTTATCATAACCTATTCAATTACTTACAGATTAATAATAATTTAAACATTTTTTTTTTGGTTCTCTTTAGTTATACATTATTCTTGAATTATTAACTATTTAAAACTTTTTATGTTCATACCTTATTACCTTGTAAGGGTGTCAACTTTGTCTTTTTAAATGGGAACACATTATAATTTAATAAAATGTTTGAATTTTTAATATAACTTTATTTGTTTATTAAATATAAACACTTAAAGTTTCAATTTTTTAAATTAATATACATGTATAATACACATAGTATTACAAATACAGGTAGCTAATTGGTTTTTTATGACATCGATATTAGAAGGTACACACCATTGTTATTATCCTTGGTAGTAAGGCACATTGTTGTGAGTTTATAAATACACTAACTGACAATACAGAAATTATATCTATGATAGTCATAATTGATAATAAACAATTCGTGACTGTAACTGCAATGTCATAAAAATTCAAATAGCNCTGTAACTGCAATGTCATAAAAATCCAAATAGCTACCTGTATTTATAATTTCTTGTGTATTATACATGTATATTAACTCAAAAATTTGAAACTTTAAATGTTTACAGCTAATAAACTAATTAAGTTATATTAAAAATTCAAATTCCATTTACTATTGAATTAAAAACTCAAACATTTTATTAAATTCAAAATATGTGTTCCCATTTAAAAAGACAAAGTTTACACCCTTATCAGGCATAAGGGATGAACATAAAAAGTATTACATAGTTAATAATTCAAGAATAATGTGTAACTAAAGATAAGCAAAAAAAAAAAATGTTTAAATTATTATTATTCTGTAAGTAATTGAGTGGGTTATGATATCATATTATTAAAGAAACGGTATAATACTATTTATTTATTTTTTTGTTGTTGTAGTATAGCCTTTCTTTTATTTCTATTTCTATTATTAAATAAAAAGAATCTTTTTCGATATTTATAATAATTTTTTATACTTAGATATTGAGTTTTTTTTTAATGATACTCTGTTTAATAATAATAATAAAAAAATTAGGATTGTAACGACTAAGAAAATAAATTCTGGACAAAAAAAAAGAAGAAGTGTTGTATTCAAAATTGAAGTTGAAAATGTCTTTGAGATTAGATTTTTTTTATTTTACGATTTAAAATTAGCTTATAGTTTAAAGCATTTTTGATGGTAAAGGAACATTGTTTTATTGTACAAATAATATTAGTGTAATTTCTTGTTTTATTTTAAATTGATATTTGTGTAATATATCGTTGAAATTTTAACATAAGTAGAAATAGTTATATTTATTACGTTATTTAACAATAAATAAAAAGTTTGATAGTTTGAAAATAATTGTATCTATTGACTTAAGTATTGTAACTATTAGTAGCTGTAAAAAATACTGGTACTCAAAAATTTTAGGAATTATCTTTTTAATAAAAATGACTAAACATATGAATTTTTATTTTGCTCATTAAATCATACATAAAACGTGATTTTGTTTATACAAGTGCATGTTAATGAAATTTTGAGTTAATTCTAACAATATGTTTTTGATATAAGGTGGTCAGTTTCTTACTACAGAATAATTTGAAGTATACAATACTAAATAATATAAAAACCAGTAAATTAATTTTATTTGATTGTTATATTTTACCTCATTCAAGATCTAGTACAAAATAGTATAATTAACATTTTTTAAAAATTCGAGTAAAAAAAGTAATTTTGATTAAATAGTTAACGTTACCCAGTACTGTTTTATCTCTAGAGTTCAGTATTGTCAAATAAATTATGTAAATAATTAGCGTGTACATCGAACCATAGATTACTGTTAGATTATTTAAATGGAATACAGTTAATTATACTTGTGCAATTTTGTTTACATCATTTGCTCATTATAGTCGTCTTATTAGGACACTGTAAGTAAAATTATTTTTCAATTTCTTTTATTCTATTATATATATATTTGATCTACTGAACATTTTTTGTTACTCATTTATTTATTTTTTAATTTGTTAGAACTGAGATTATACATATTTTAGCATCGACGAGTAGCTTGTTTTATTCTTTCGTATTATTTTTCTTCTCGTTTATGTTCAACAATACACTAAAAAATCAAAAAAATATTTAGTTGAGGTTATTATTGTCAGAATTAAAAAAAATTGTTTATTAAAAATACGTTTTTATCAATGATAAAACGTTTATAAAATATCTCATTATTAAATTCTTACCAAATAAAATATACATTTTATACGACATATTAAATTATATATTTAGTAATAGACATTTTAAAATTAATTATGCATTGTATAATTTTCTTTAAAAATTACAGTTATAATTTAAGTGTAAATAAATATACTCATTAAATGCGTTCGTTATTTAATAAAGTTGAGATATTAATAAGTTAATATGGCAACTTTACCCTTTGTATTTAATTAGATGATTAATCAAAGATATGTTTACTTAAATACTTATCGATGAGAGTAAAAATTAAAAACAATTAGAAAGATATATTGAAATATAAAATTGTTTTAACATTTTGCTCATTGATATTTTTTTTCTATTTCATTAAATATCGTTTAATATCTTTGTACATTTACATATAAATATTTAGATCCAATATTAAGGGGGATACAAAATGGCAATTTTCGCATAAAAAATTAACGTTTGTGAACTTACATTTTCAAATTTATCTTAAATTAAAGCTAATGTAATATTCTTTAATATAAAAAAAAATTGTCTCCATAACTTGTCTTACAAGTTGTTAGTGGTGAAAATGGATATAAAAAGTTAAAAAACGATTTTTGTGTAAAAATTTTATATTTTATATATTTAATTTTATATTACCAAAACTTTTCGAATGATTAAAACAAAATTTTTTTCAGTTATGTTCTTTGAGTCAATTCAAAAATGTCTGTTTTACAAAATCGTAGTTCTCACTTACTCAAGCACGCAAGATTTTTCAATAATGTCAGTATCACACGGTTAATATCTATGAAGGCGACTTCATCTACCGAAATCATTGAAAGGGAAAAGAAAGTATCCGCGTTCAATTATGACCCCTTATCAGTTGTAATATCCAAAGGAGATGGTAAAATAATTACAGTATCTAAAATTATCAGTTATTTAAATGTATAAGGTGATAAATAATTGAAAACAGGTGTATATATGTGGGACGTTGAAGGTAAAAAGTATTTTGATTTTTTGGGTGGGTTTGCGACTCTCAATCAAGGACATTGTCATCCAAAAATTATCAAAGCTATGGTCGATCAGTTATCAATTCTTCATCATACTTCTAGAGCTATTCATCACGACTGTCTGTATGAACTTAATGAATTTCTCACAAAAACATTTGGATTTGATAAGGTGCTTAATATGAATACGGGTAAGAAAATCGTGTATTAATTAATTTTGATTCGTATCTATTTTTACAACAAAGTTAAATATATTTATTGTATATTAAAAGGTGTTGAAGGTGGTGAAACTTCTATCAAAATAGCCAGAAAATGGGGTTATAGAGTGAAAAAAATTCCAGAAAATCAAGCTCAAGTAGTATTTGCTCATGGTAATTTCTGGGGTCGTACTATTGCTGCTATTTCATCTTCAACTGACCCAAACAGTTTTAATGAATTTGGACCTCATGTTCCTGGTTATCAAGTTGTTCCCTATGATGATTTGGGAAAACTTGAAGTAATTTTGATGATGACTATTAAAATATTTTAATATATTTTTCATTGATTCATTTATTTTTTGGTTTTTATTTGTAGCAAGCTCTCAGAAATCCAAACGTTTGCGCATTTATGGTTGAACCAATACAAGGAGAAGCTGGAGCCGTAGTACCCAGTCTTGGATATTTAAAAGGAGTACGAGAACTATGCACTAAATACAATGTGTTATGGATAGATGATGAAGTACAAGCTGGTTTAGGTAGAACTGGAAAGCTACTAGCCGTCGATTATGAAAGCGTAAAACCAGACTTGTTAATTCTCGGTAAAGCTTTGTCTGGTGGAGTTTATCCTGTAAGTTAAAAATTGTTTAGAACTAAAAAGTATTTTATAAAATATAGTCTCAAATTTAATATTTACGATAACTTTCTTCTTAAAAATACGCTGAATTCGATCATTTTCAATAATACGTAAATGTGAAAAATAAATACATTTAATTTTTAATGGTAATTTGTATAGTATCAATGAGAAATTGTTTTCATTTCAAAAAATGTGACATGCATGTTAAATGTTTTTTTAGTTTTCTACTCTATTCATCTGAATACCAAGGAACATTGTATTTGGATAGACGACCTTTTTCTTAAATCTATATACATTTTTATCAACTACAATTACTTGCAGTATTTTTCTTCAACTTTTTAACTTGGAAAAAATTAGGATCAAATAGAGCAACTTTAAATGTATGGGACAACTTTAAATTCATTATTCTTATTAGAATATTCAGTACATATTTCTATTGATAAAATAATTCCAATGCTGAAGTATATATAAAAAATTATGCATTTTCTTTTAAAAATGAATTTACAAGTACTCTATTTGTTTACATTTATTGCACTTCGCCCTACATAAAATGTTTAAAAAATATACTAAATATTTTTGACCTTTTTAAAACTTTATGTGACATTTTACCAATACTCACTAAAACAAAGTTTTTTTTTTTTAGATTTCCGCTGTATTAGCCAATAAAGAAATAATGGGAGTGCTTACTCCTGGAACCCATGGATCAACGTATGGTGGTAATCCTTTAGCATGTAAAATAGCTATGGCTGCTTTAGACGTGATCATTAATGATGGTTTGATTGACAATGCCTTTAAAATGGGAGAAATATTTAGATCAGAAATTGCTAAACGAGTAGATAAACAAAAATTGATTCAAGTCAGAGGCAGAGGATTACTTAACGCTGTTGTACTTAATCTAAGTAAAAAAAATTATCAATTGATTATTTTATAATACATAAGTAAACAAAAATATGTCAGATAGAATGATTAAAACTTAACTAAACTTCTATGTAATGTCAGAGATTGAGGAACGTAATTTAGTAAACTACCTAATGCTAATGGATGAAATTCACATTTTACAAAAATGACTTGAAAGTAATATATATATAAATAAATAAATATATATATATTATTTGGAACTTTGACTTAGATTTAATGTAAATATTTAAAAACTGTTTAGATCAATTAAGCGACTTCCTCTGGATAGATTTTTAATTGTGCATATGCTTCATAATTAATCCATATTCTATAACTGGAGGGAAGAATAATAATTTTAAATTGATTAGCGTTTACTAAGCAATTGAATTCAGTGGATTAGTCTTGAACCACAAATAACACAAAATTATTGATTTGGCTATACCAACCCATACCAAAAAATCCTACTCTATATGATACACTTGCTGTAATAAAAATAAATAATTCATTATATTTCTATACTTTTTTAGAAACCTGTCCAGAGACCAGTGCTGTGAGTTTAGCTATAAAAGAAAATGGTTTGGTGACAAAACCAATTGGCAACAATATATTAAGATTTTCACCGGCTTTAACTATAAAAGAAAACGAACTACGTGAAGGCATTGATATCATCGTAAAGACAATTAATGCAACATCTTGTAGTTAATCATATGTTAATAATATTTTTATAATATAATATATATTTAGTTAAAATGTAAAAAATTGTCATCTATCTATTAAAAAAATTATAATAAATAATGTGACAACAATATTAGTGATGATTTTAAACACAGATAATCTTCTTCTTCCTCACCCTAATCCCAACTACTCAGGGTCGGCCACCCTTTTCCTAAACTTCCACTTGACACGTTCTCCCACATCAACTGCGTTCACATAAGCTGTCCTCAAATCGCATTCAATAGCATCCTTCCATCTCTTTTTTGGTCTTTCTCTACCTCTTCTTCCTTCAACATTCATTTCTATAACTGTTCTTACAGCTTCTTACATTCAGAGGGTATTCAAGTTCAAAAGTTAAATATATTATTAATTCAGCGTAGTAAAATGAAGTATTTTTAGCTTCGATGCGAAGCTGAGAAGGTATTATTTTTACTATGTTGTGTTTTTATTTTTTTGTGTCTGTTACCACTTTTTCGCAGCTCTCACCGAACCGATTTCTTTCAACGACACATCAAAAGATCATAAATCGTATCTAGTCGAAGACATTACCCTCAAAACTTGAAAAAATTACCCTCGTACCCCGTAAAAATCGTTAATTTTTGACATTATTAAAATTTTTTTTACTTAAAATTTCCATAATTTTTTTAAAAATAATCAAATCAATCTAATTTTTTTTTATAGATGCTTGATGTCTTTACATATTATTTGGTATATATTTTATTATAAATCTACCTTTTACCTACTCACAGGGAGGGATTTAAAATGACAATCTTTTCACAAAAAATTAACTTTTTCAACTTAACTTCTGAACATTTTTCAGAAAGTCTAACATTTTTATATATATCTTAAATTAAAGCTGATATAATATACTTAATTATAGAAAAAAAAAATTCGGACTTTATTTTGTCTTCATGGTGAAAATAGTTGCCAAATGCTATTTTTGTGTGAAAATTCTCGAATTTATTTTTTATATTTTTAACTTTATAATGCTATAACTTATTGAAAAGTGTATGGATCAATACAATTTTTTTATAAGAAATAATATTTATATCCTTTTTTCATTCGACATACTTTATCTTAATCAGGATATTAATAAGGAAATAACAGATCATGTAGCTTTTGGAAATATTCCACCAATTTTTCAAAATTAAACACTATCTAAAAATTTGCATTGAATCGTTTTTTATGATAGTGATTTTAATCACTGTCAGATATCATTATACTTGATCTAACTATTACACGTCACCACTGTGTCGCGACCCCCCTGTGCTGGGGTTTTTAAATTAGTTTTAATTGATATCTGACTGTGATTAAAATAACTATTAAAAAAAAACACTACAGTGAATACTTAAACGAATAAAAAGAAGTATATCATATTTTCCAAGAATTAAATAATTTTTAATGAAGTGTGCGATTACTTATAGAAGACAAGTCACCAATACGTCTTTCTTTTTTAAATTATATAGTTTATTGTATGCTCCATGGCAGGATAAAACAATCAAAAAAGTACTAGTATTTAAGAGTTGGAAGAAAACACTTTATTGAAATCCTATTCGGCAATGGTAACAGGAGAAAACACGCGCCAGGTTAAGTTTAATAATGACACAATGAGTCTTTACAGAATGTTCTGTAATGCACATTTCAAAAATACAATAAAATAAAATCTTAACTAAAATAGTCCCCTCGATAGCGGATTGTATTAGCTTTAAATTAATGTAAGTAAGACAATATCAGGTTTTTTGGAAATTTATAAAAATTGAAAAGAAAAATAATTGTTAGAATATTATGTCTCTTGGATAATAATTAGACTTTCAAAAATAGTATATCGTCGGTAAAGAAAATGTTTTAAGAATTGTTAATATAAATTTAACAATTATCTATTCAGTTTAAATACAGTGAATATGACAAATAGCAATGCATTGATAAAAAATATTTGTATAGTTTTTAAAAACGTATAAGTTAAATTATTTTGCTAAAAATTTAAGTAGGGAGACATTTATGTTTGGGTTGTATGTGTTTTTTTTTTAATTACAACTTCGTTTTATTTATTTTTTTCAAGACTTCTTGGTGTTTTCTTGTTCTAAAATCCAATAATAATCATCTGTCTTATGATTGTGCACAAAATAATTTTCAAAAAAATGAAGCTGTTGTTGGGGAAGTGCTTTATCTTACAATCTCCTATTTTATTACGTTATGGAGTTGACACTAATTTCTAAAAACCCTATTGAAAACTGTTTGAATAACAACTATTTTAATTATTTTAAATTTTGCAATTTTTATAAAATAATCATGCTAGCGTGGCTGGCATTAAAAAAAAGCATTATTAACAGTCTGTACAAGCTTTGTACAATAAGTAATTAAAACAAAAACGTAACACGATTTGTTATCCTTGTAACTAGAGAGTAATAAATCTCTTGTGATATGGATATTTTCCTTTCTAAATATGTATATGTGATATATTTTAATTAAATTTATCATATAAAATTTACATACATAATTATTGTGTGCAAAAAATATTTGATTATAAATTATTATGTTTTTTGTGTAAAATATGTACTTAACGCATTCTACTCAAACATTTATGTTTCCTAATTAAATTTTTAGCAAAAATATTTAACTTGTACGTTTTAAAAAGCTATACGACTATTTTACCTTCGATGTGTAGATCTTAGTCTTACTCACCATGTTTTAACTGGATGAATTGTTACTAAATTTTTATTAATAATTCTTATAACATTTGGTTTGCCGACGTCATACATATTTTGAAAATTCAATCATATACGTTCTTAAAATCTATAGGAATATTTTACTTTTGAGAGCCAATGTTTTATTCGTCGTTTTTATTTTATTTTATTCATTTCACGTAAAGCGAATTACTCCCTTTATTACTGGATCGATTTTATTCAACGAAACGTATTAGCACCATAATTTTGAAAAATTCCAACCATCCCGCTAATAAATAGAAATTTCCCAAAAAATTATTTGTCATTAAACATTAATCTTCTTAATCTCTACCACAACTATTTGACGTTCGATCTACCTTTAGATTTGACAGATTTTACACTAGCTGTCGACCTGACGCAATCTCATTATGGCTGAGGTAACCAATATTGGACAAGGTGTGTATCACTGTTAAAGCTCCCGTATGATCACTTATTCAAGAATGTTAACTTCTTTTAAAGAAAATATTTTCAATTTTTAAAGATAATTCGTTTTTTAATATCATAAGAAACAAAAATAACATAACAAAACAGTTGATTAAAAAAAATATAACACTACGCGGTTTCAACTGCTGTGCAATCGTAACTATTACTTGCTACTTAACATCTTTTAAAATTGGTCAGTGTAACTGAACATTATTATTTTTTTTAATCAGGAACCACCAACAGCAAACAACATTGCTAAACAAGCATTGACGACTGCATGATTCACTTTGTCACACCACATATCTATATATAAACATAAAACAGTTAATGTTGATATTTTTGGTTTTTACATTATGTTGAAATGACTTTTTGAAAATTGGACAAATTACTGTTAAATTTTTATTAATAATCCATCAAACATTTTCTTTGTCAATGATATACTGTTTTTAAAAACATCTAATCATTAACCAAAGTATTGTGTACATAATCATCATATAAAAAATTTTTTTTTCGATAATTTTCCAAAAAAACAGCCTTATTTTAATTTAAAGCTAATATAATGTAATTTATGATGTAAAAATAAAAAATATGACTTGTCTTTTAACCAGATTTATTACGTTTTAAACAGTACCTGTCTAATAAGATTTTACTGTCGAAGTATACTTTACATTTACACAATGATTTATAAAAATCGACTGTATTTTACTCCATACATATTTAAAATTATTATTATTTAACAAATAAACGAGAGGTAGTATGCTTAATAAGTCACCTTCTATGTATGATATTAAAAGGAATACTGAATTTTTTCTTAAAAGATTTTAAAGAATGTTGAAATCAGCTTAGGAAAGAGAAATGACTTACCAGAGGGTGTTAAATAACCAAACCACGCCTTAATTTGCGTCTATGCAAGTCATTTATACAATATTCAAAGAACTATTTTCTGTAGGTAACTCTATAAATAAGAAATTGCACGCATTTTATTATTTTAGCTTTGATGTGAAATTGAGAAGGTATTATTTTACTATGATGCGTTTTTTTTCAATTTTTTTAAATTAAAATTGCCATAACTTTTTTAAAAATGACAAAATCGATATAATTTTTTTTTCATAGATGCATAATGTCTTTACCTATCATTTTGTATATTTTTTTTTATAAATCTGACCTTTTACCTGCCCACAGGGTGGGATTCAAAATAACAACTTTTTCAACATATTTTTTGAAAGTGTTCCAGAAATACCAACATTTTTAACACGCTTTTATTAGTTTCACATGTATTTTGTATATTGTTTGTATGTAAGTTTGTAACTCTCCAAACGCCACGCGTTATCGCATATTCCGTTGTCTAGACTAGACTGTTATACGCATTCACCCCTCCCCACGCCTCGCTCACAATACGACGGTACACTATTCCTATAAAAATTTATTTTTAGTTATCGTACCCGTACACGCGTGCTTGTCATCAATATTATATATATGTAAACAAATTTTTATTTTGACTGACCAATAACGCCCGCGTCTAATGCGCCTTACGTATATATATATATATTCCTACCGCCGTTTATACCTCGGGTATAACGTTAGTCCGACCCGCCCGGCCATAAAACACAGCTATACTTAGTGCATGATACTTTTACGTAGTTAAGTCGCATTATTTGTATAAATATATATATTCTAATTACTATTAAAATTAATATATTAACACGATTTATTCTAATTAAGAGATATAAAGTATTCATTCCGATTACGAGGGATGATTTCCGTATCGTCATTTTTCGTCACTACCTCCACGTTCCGGGAGTGAGTAATTTACGCGCCTGCTGCTTTCCTTGGATGTGGTAGCCGTTTCTCAGACTCCCTCCCCAGAATCGAACCCTGATTTCCCGTTACCCGTAACAACCATGATATTGATAGTAACTACTATCATAACATGAAACTAAAAAGTAAAAAATAAATATAGTTTAAAAAACTAAAAAAACACGCTTTTAAAGTACATCGAACTAAAAAGTTAAAAATAATTTTTAAAATAATTATGAACAAAAAATACTAGTATTATTGTGATAAAAGCGTGGGTGCTTTGTGCCATATTTTTCGTATATTGAGCGCCCGACGCTTTTATCACAATAATACTAGTATTTTTTGTTCATAATTATTTTAAAAATTATTTTTAACTTTTTAGTTCGATGTACTTTAAAAGCGTGTTTTTTTAGTTTTTTAAACTATATTTATTATATGCAAGTCTTAAATTAAAGCTTATGTAATGTAATTTAATATGGAAAAAAAAATTCTGTCTTTATTTCGTGTTTACATAAAAACAGACATTAAAGTTAATTAAAAAAACGGTAGCACAGTGGGGTCACGGCACAGTATGGGCATGGCATAGTTGGACAAAGTATAGATGATATCTGATAGTGATCAAAATCACTATCATAAGTAATGCTTCAATTCAAATCTGTAGATAGTGTTAAATTTTAAGATATTAAAGTTGTTGAATCTAAATGAGATCTCGACTTACAAAATGCAAAAAAAAAAAAATAAGTTTAAATTTTTATGCTATATCAATTTGATTTATATAATATTTATGAAAATCAGTGTACTCCCCTTGTCAGGTATTTTTAAATAAAATAAAATATAAAACTCAGAATTTTAACACAAAATAGCATATTTTTGAATACAGTAGTCATTTTCATCATGAAGCCAAATCTAGAGGTCAAATTATTTTTGTATAATTTTAATAATTTTGTATAATTGTATAAAGGGGTATGATCCGATTTACAAAATAAGCGTGTCAGATGAAAGGGGTATATAAAAATGTATTATAAAAAAATAATAATATTGATCCATACATTTTTCCGAAAGTTATAGGAATATAAATTTAATAATATAAAATCGAGAATTTTTTCACGGAAATCGTACGTTTTGCTTTAAGTTTAATGTCCGATTTCACTAAGAAGATAAATGCAGAGGTCAAATTTTTTCAACAATATGTCAAATGATCACAAGTAGTTAAAGATACTATCTTTTAAAAATTGAAAAAATTTTCGTTTTGTTTAATAATGTTACTATATTTATGTGAATATTAAATTTTTTGGTAACACGTTACTATATAAATGATTTCTACAAAAATGATTTTGGGTATAACCTGAATTTAACTTCAAAAAAAAAAAAAAATTAATGTAATATCTCCATAAATAATAAGAGAATACGTTTTTATATACCAATAAATAACGTTTTTCCTTGATTTCAAATCTGCAATTAGATTTTTTCCATAGTCTTATTATTTGATTAACTTATCGAAATTAGAATTTATATTTAAAGAGTGATTCTGATTTTTAATATGTTAAAAATAATCCGTGTAAATTTTCAATTCAAAATGTTTAACCTATTTTTTTTTTGTTCAACTCGTAAGTTTGAAATTGATATCATTAAATAGAAAATTATACGGTTTTGTTTTGTTGGGATTAAGGCGAGGGAAAAGAAGAAGATATAGTTTTGTTTAGATTGACATGTGATTAGAAACTTATATAATTATTATTAAGATTAAATGTTTCGTACGAGGCAGCTAGATCGTAGGACCGCTAGTTAAAAACTCAATTAAACAAATAATAAATAACATTAAAAAATAATAGAAAACTCAGCTGAATAGATAAAGTTGTTGATAGTGATGAGTGGACTGTATGAGATCTTGTGGTTATGGTGTCGAACATCTTCGATACATCATCGAGTATCACAAATCAGAGTGTAGATCCAGGCGCGTAATGGCAGATGAAAACAGACGACGGAAAAGCGACTATGATAATAACGACTAATAATGAAGTTATTTCGTGATGGTGAGGGCCCAATCACCGGTGGCGTACAATGGCACGAGAACTTTGAGCACAAGGGTGCAATAAACAAATATTGAGGATAACAGCGTACAATGGCCATTCAAGGGAAGGCGCTTGCTATGAAAAAAGATGACACATAAAACAATTGACTTACTGACTTACGACGATGAACTGTACACGGATGGCATTTGACACGGAGGCCATTGATTTGCCGTGCTGGGTGGGCAAGGGGGTGAGTAAAACAAATACACTAGTGATCAGCTGTCACACGATATAATATAATCAACGGTGTTTTGGGACAACTGGTCCGTTAGGTTTTTGTTAAAAGCGTTCTCTACTAAACAGTAAATTTATAAAAAAAAAACACAAAACTTCGGTAAAATTGTTTATTATATTTTTTATATTTATATTTTAATAAATCAAAAAATAAATTATAAGCTTAAATGCTATTAATAATAATGTTTAATTTCTTTAATTTCTTTATTAATTTATATGCCATACAATGTAAAATTTGAAGTTTATATACATAAGCAATTGTGTAACAAAAATCTACTTTTATGATTATAAAATGAGGCAATTCGCACCATTATTAGTTATTTAAGTATAATGATAATAGTCAAAATACCCTTTCTATGATCATCAACATGTAAGGAAAATTTGTTATTATTTACAATTTTCTTTTAAATATCTATCATATTAACTAGATAAAAATTATATAATCTTTAGCCAAATAAAATTTCAAAACATTATTTTTATCAGAAACTAGATATTATTTTATGAAATCATGTTTATCTTAGCTAATTATTTTCTGATTATCTATGATCAATTTTAATTAGTGTACAGATATAACATTTTTATTTTCATGATAAATTGCTTATATTAGTAATAAATAAATGTGAATTCCCAAAGAAATAAAATCAGTTTATCAACATAATTATTGGTTCACTAATATTTTATATCACGAATACAAAAATAAATTACATAATTATTAATAATTTTCTAAAATTACTAACACCAAATGTTTTGTGCGTATGATTATTATCTATTATCAACAAATTTTATTTTAACGAATAAATTTATTTATTATTTTATTTCCTATTATTATACTCAAATCTAAATACATGTGTACACCATTAAATACTTGTGTCGTTTATTTATAAATACAAATAGATTACTATATAATATAGGTTCCAATTGAGTACTTCTAACTGAAATAATTAATCTAAAATAAATGATTTTTTTATGAAAAATAAAATTACATGAAAAAACACTTGTTAAAATAGAAAAATTTAATTAAGTGAGTTTTTGTTTTAAAATTTTATCTTTACTATAAATAATTTAAAGCAGAACTAATTCGTATATTATAATTTTTAGTCTTTCAATTAATACTTGAGATTTTTCATAAAAAATATGATTAACATTCATTATTTTAATTTGTTTTTCATAACTTGTGTATTTCTAATGTCTGACACTTTATATTCTTTACACGCTGTGCGGAATACAGCATATAACAGGGATTATTTTACCAAAAATATAATTTCTTTCAAGTCAATATGGAAAAAAAATTTAAGTGATGTACGATGTGCTAACTATTATAATTCTATTTTTACATATAATTTTGTATTTAATTCAAAGTTGAGTACAAATAATGTTGATACTAAAATACGAGGAGCTTATTTTCTTCTTGCTTGTTCGTATGCAAGTGATCTGAGAATTATATTATTTTCTTTATTAAAGTACCTTAATAACTGTTTTGATGACTACGCTATAAATAAAGAATCAATTAATACATGTGCCGTAAATTTCCTGAACATTGTACATAGTTTAAATCCATTGATAAGCCGAATGAAAATGGCATTGGAATCAATCAATATATATCATACAAAACTTTTAAAAGAAAGTAATGGCCGTAATTATATTTTAAAACGTTGTTTAAAAGATTTAATTGTTTCTACGAAAGATATAACAATTCAACTAGCTACGAAAAGCAACCTAAAATACAATCGCCATTTATTAATTGTTTTAAATGAAAAATTTGTAAATTGGAATTCCACTTTAAATGAGGATATTCAACAATATTGTTCATTGGAGAGTAAAAGCGTGGAAGACGAATGGGATATTTTGATGAAAAATTATGAAAATAAATCGACTCAAAATAATCAAACATTACAAATTTTCGATTTTATCACCACAACTTTAGATAATTTATCTGAAAAAATTATTCAACATAAATTTCAAGAGCTTGGATTTGAATATGATCCAAGAATCATTGACAACGAGTATAATGATTTAGAAGACGAAAGTTCGTCAAATGAAAATAATTCTGGCGAGGAACTAAATGGTACATATTTTGATAGAGAAAAACAATTTTCTTATTCAGATAATAATGCATACGTGGCAACAGAAAGTAGTGATAATAATGATGGTGATTAAAAAGAAAATATTTTAAATGAAATCCAACTTTAAGAAACGTCAAATAACATGTTGGTTGATCTTCAACAGATTTAAAGCAACTTGACTTTAATTATATAAAAGTAGTTTACTGTTAAAATATTTAAGTAAAAACTTTTAAAAATGTAATTTATTTATTTTAGTATAGTAGTTGAAAATTTAAAACACATTGCACGAGTATTATATCATATAATAGTCTTATAATAGAAAATACTCTATATAATTTATATGCATTATATCACTTGAATATACGAAAGTAAAAATAATTATTTATTTTAAGAAGTATAATACAAATATGAATTTATACGTTTCAATGTTAAAATTTAAATATAGTATACAATTAATCAAAAATATTTTTACTATGAAATGAAATATGATTTCTTTAAAATTTATTTGTTTGATGAATTATTTATTCATTTATTTGTGTATGTTATAAATCAGAGTAACTATCAAGAAAAATTATTGATTCTTACAGGAATTAATATTTTAAATTTAATTCTAAAAAATTTTGATAAAAAGCAAGAGCGTCCATAGAAATTTTTCATAGAGGGGCAAAAGTGTGTTTTTAAATATTTAGTTTCTCTGTCTACACAACGTTAAAGAGGGAATGACCTGGATTCTCGACCAGTTAACCACTATTTTTTAAAGGCTTCGCCATAGTCTCAACAAGAAACAGATTAGCCTGTCAGATAACTAAATAGCTCCCAAAATTTAAGAAATTATATATGTTGTCATATATACAAATATATTTTTTAGGATAGAGGAGAGAATACAATTAGCATCCTCAAAAATGTTATTCAATTAAACCTATGCGTTTCCCAGAAAATAAAAAAAAACGTATGAATTATTTATAAGATAAGGTGTTCCTATATATTTAGTAAATAAAAATTAAACCCACATATCATTAATCTATAAAAAATAATGTTCTTAATTCTAGAATTCTTAATATAATTTAATTTAAAAAACTCAGCACAGAGGGGTCGCAGCATGGCATCACATTTTAAATCCCCCCTTGTGGGCAGGTTAAGGGTTAAATTTATGAAAAAAATTAACCAAACGAAAGGTAATGATATTACACATCTATATAAAAAAGAATTATATTGATATGTTCATTTTTGAAAAAGCTATGGCACTTTTAAGTAAAAAAAATTGAAAAAATTTCGAAAATTAGCTATTTTTAAATTTGTAATTTTTTTGGAGGTTTCCCCCATTTACGGGGAACGAGGGCATTTTTTTTAAATTTTTAAGGGTAATGTCTTCGACTAGATACGATTTGTGATCTTTTGACGTATCGTTGAAAGAAATCCGTTCGGTGAGAGCTGAGAAAAAGTGGTAACAGACACAAAAAAAAAAACACATCATAGTAAAACCAATACCTTCTCAGCTTCGCATCGAAGCTAAAAATATATTTTGCAAAATTTTGTAATACACAACTGCCTTCTGTCCATTAGTGGATGACTATGTCAAAAGGTATTTATAGCAAAAATTAATTAATTTTATGAGAATGAATAATTTACTACTGTCATCTTTTGTATGTATTGTATCTATTAAAATAGACGTAATAAATTATATATTACTTGAAATTCATGAGATAATTATTCAAAATACTGAATTTAATAAACATTTTATATTAATGTAGACAATGGAATATCGTATTTATTAATATTAAGTATAAATTACAAACCTACATACGTTTCAGTCAGTGATTTCGATCGACAAGCTCTGTAATGGTTGAATTAAATAGATTATGTTTAGTAATGGCTTCATAATAACTATTACGTAAGGTACATGCGTGGAAAAGTTTTTCTGGGTGGTAACATTTTCTTATAATCCTATTAAATCAAAGCAATGACCAATGCCATTATCGTCTAATATAATGTTCTAACCTGACTTTGCTTGTTAATAGTTCTATATTTTTAATAAAGCAAAAGGGTTAATATTCTTATGGTGTTTTAATTTTTTAGATAAATAGACATGACAAGTGAAATAGATAATACAGATGACCTCATACAACAAAAAATTTTATCTGCAAAAAAGGAAAGAAAAGTAATGTTTTAATAGTAAAAACGTAGATTATGTTTAATTTTAAACGAAAACACAATTTATATCAAGAAATTTATTCAACTTATGTCAACATTCAATTTTATACTTCCAGATAAAAATCATAAGAATCATAACAGTAATTGCTTACTTAATAGCCGTCTCTACAGCATCAGTAATGCTATCTGCTTATTATATGTTTTTATGGAAACCTCAAGTCCGAAATTTAACTCTTCCATCAGACACCGAAGAAGGGATAATGATGGCCCAGCACAGTGATGTTAATCATTATACAGGTAATTAAATACATTACAATATCCATTAATAATTAATTTCTTGTAATATTTTACCTTCGATGCGAAACTGATAAGGTATTAATTCTACTATGATGCATTTTTTTTTGGTTTGTTACCACTTTTTCTTAACTCTCACCGAACCGATTTCTTTCAACGATACGTCAAAATATCACAAATTATATCTCGTCAAAGGAATAACTCTCAAAAATTGAAAAAAATTCACTCGTTCCCGGTAAAAGATGGAAATCCCCCAAAAAATTACAAATTTAAAAATCGTTAATTTTCGATATTTTTTCAATTTTTTTAAATTAAAACTGCCATAACTTTTTTAAAAATGACCGAATCAATATAATTTTTTTTTATAGATACATGAGGTATTTACCTATCATTTTGTATACTTTTCTTTTTATAAATTTGACCCTTTACCTGTCCACAGGATGGGATTTAAAATGACAACTTTTTCATAAAAAAATTATCTTTTTCAACCTCATTTTTGAAAGTGTTCCAGAAATACTGACTCATATATATATATATATATATATATATCTTAAATTAAAGCTTATGTAATCTACTTTAATATGGAAAAAAAAAATTTAATTTTATTTTGTCTTTATGGCAAAAATAGTTACCATATTCAAAAATTTGCTAGTTTTATATTAAAATTTTCGATTGTATTTTATTTTATACAGAGTGTTCAGTAATTCAGGAAACGGGTTTCTATTGTTCTCATTGTTTGTAACAAAGAGAACAATAGAAACCTGTTTCCTGACTTACTGAACACCCTGTATAATTATATAATTATAAAAATGTTTAACTCTTTTAATTCTTATCACATTTAGATTCTGCGACTTCAATGAATATCAAGAACCCCATCACTGCAGTCTCCTCTCGTAAATCGAAATTTCTTATTTATTTTAAAATTATTTTACTATGCTGTTTTTTGGTGTTTATTATTCATTTTTCTCGGCACTCATTTACTGTGATAAGGCTATATACTTTATGGTGCGCCAAGTACCATAAAAAATCTTAATGGTCACTTTACCATTGGGCTAATTACCCTATGACAAGTTAGCAACCATTTTACTTGATACAGCTGGGTTAGGTGGGCCTAAATGCTGTTAGCAAGCAGATATGCCTGGGCCAACCAATCAAAACTAACCAGTCATAACCGGATAACAGCAGTGGTATTAGTTCCACCTCCATTTATTTAACTAGGGTCCTTGATCCTTAAGAATATCAATGCAGGAAAGAAAAATAGAAAAAAAAATTGTGTTGTAACAAAATACTTTAAAAGTTTCAATTCACTTCCCCATCACACGATCAGTAGCTGTTAAAATGTATAAACCAAAAACTAAATGCAAAATTCTACAAAGGATTCTGGCGAACATCACGCCAGGCTTATATAAATAAAAATACAAGAACCATATCTAAAAAAAAAACCCAGCACAGGGGGGTCGCGGCATAGTGGTGACGTGGTATAGATGGATCAAGTATGATATCTGACAGTGATTAAAATCACTATAAAAAAAAAACGCTTCGATGCAAATCTTTAGATACTGTTTAATTTTAAAAAATTGGTGGACTATTCCAAAAGCTACATTATCTGCTAGTTCATTATTAATATCCTAATTAAGATAAAGTATGTAGAATGAAAAAGGGATTATTAAAAAATATTATTTCTCATAAAAAAATAATGTTGATCCATACACTTTTCAATA